AGGTGGCACAATAGGAGGAGGAAAGAAGGCATGGCTGGAAATGAATGTATCAAAGAGAAAACAAGATTTGGTAATTGAATATGGGTCATGAGGAAGAACAAGGCAGTACAAATAAATGACAAGATTTGAGCCTGGGAGACAGGAAATCAGGAAAAGAAGCACTTTTGAGGAAACTAGAAGAAGGTTTGAATCTCTTCACTTTGGTGAGACATAGAATGCAAATCCCCTTAATGAGGTATTATAGGCCACTAAAGAAATTCAGTTCATCAGAACAAAGAATAGACAGAGGATCAAAAGAATGCCCCTACTCAAGGCTAAATAGAGGAAAACAGCAACTGAGGTATGCATTTATTGTAATTTTTTGTATTTATTTATCAAGCTTTATTTATGTCTTATTTACGATAAAAAAAAAAAAAAAGATGTTCTTCACCTACTGTCCAGTAACATTGTGATGATTTATTGGGTAATTTAGCATGATCTTCTAATCCTATCAATCACTTTCCAAGAAGTAACTAGAATTAAATTTTAATTTTTACATACTGGAAGTTAATCTACATATTTGGTCTCTTGTCCATCAACCTTCTTTGAAATTAAAAAGGAAATGGGAGAGCCCTGCAATCCCTTCTAGGATGTTCTTACAAGTGTGTTCATCCAGAGGGAAAGACAGCTGAAAGGAGAGAAAACAAATTCACTCAAATGACTGAGTATACACATACACTTTAATTTTAAAAACTCTCAGAAAAATTGTTTTACAAATGACTCTAATAAAGTGAGCAGCTAAGTACCTGAATACCATTTGTTTCTAGTAATGAAATGATAGCACTTCAACATCTATCAAAGTTGCAGCAAATATTTTATGACTCACAACTAACTATAGGGCTGTATACAAAATATGCAGTTTCATGGAAATGATTAACCAATACTTATCATTGCCCCGTTAAGTGAAGGAAAACAAGCTGACAAATTTTGTAAGAGTCCTAAAAGGATTAACACTGCTTCTTCAGTTTCTCAGGCAGGAACTGAGATTTATAAACCTCTAGCCTCGGAAGAACAAACCAGAATCAAGTAATTCTGTAGCTACCTTTCAGAAAGAGTCAACTCCATGGAGTCTGAATTATGTAGATTTTATAGAATTTCTGAGTCTGCGAACTGAGTCTTCATGAGCATCAAAGTCTTTTACAGATGAGAAAACCAATGCTTAGAAAACGACAGCCCCAGTTTACCCAGTCAGTTGGAAAATGAACCAGGATTCGACTAACTATAGTATTTTCTACTACAAAGCCAAAAGCATGGGACTCTGGTTGGAATGCATGCATAAATTCTTTATTTTTAACTGATTGGCAATTTTTACTAAATGGTTCTAATGAAGCAATTGTTTAGGCTTTTTTTTTTTTTAAATCTGTTTTAGCTATATGCCACTTAACAATGACATGATTTAAAACATGGACATTTTCTCTCCAGTGTTTCTAGAATCAGACCAACAGCGTCCCCGCTCAGAAACACACCTCATTGATTTTGCCCAAGTCATCAGTTCTTCCATCTCTATCTGAAAGCTACTCTTTTGCTTTTTTTTTTTTCCTTAGTTTTAACGTGCCTAGAAAAGCTACTTCTGGAGTACCTTATTCCAACATATGAAACACATGAAGCAACATATTTTCATTCAAAATATTTTTTTTTTGTCTATCAAGGAGACATATTGCACTTAGATTCTCAAAAGCCAGAATGCTCAGAAAAAAAGTATATTTTACCTTGAACATAGGACTTGGACCAAGGGAGACTGGCTATTGAGAATAGAGACAAGCTGAAGGGGAAGTTGTAAAAGTCTAAGGGAGACAAAATGTTTTAGAGGAAAACATCTCTTCTCCGATCACTTTTTAAAACTACTTTGAAAACCTTGAGTATTATTCATAATTTTGAGTTTATAGCTTGATAACCAGTATTTATTTCTGCAAAATACTTTAACTCAGTATGCAGGAAAAATAATATAAAATATTTCCCCCATCAAGATTATAATATTTCCTATATGCTGAGGCTGAACTATAGAATGAGGATACGCAAGAGATAGGAAACATTTATGCCTCTTGGATCACAACCATTTTCACAAGAGAAGGAGAAATGATTCAGTGTGTTTTCATTTCTACTTCTCTTCTGGAGAACTTTTGATCTAGAGGTCAGAAGACCACCTGTCCTCCTAACTATGCCTTCGAATACTACAAGTGGAACAAACACTGCTGAGGCATCCATTATCTCTCCATCTTCTGCATGCTCAAAAGCTATAAACTGAGAGGGCTATTAATAAATACTCCCCTTTTTTAAGCTGGAAGGAAACTGGAGCTTAGCCACATAAGCACAGAACACTTAAGATCCAGAAAGGATTTGTAATGATAAAAATTACAACAAATGATGCAAATTTAATTTCTTGACTTAGCAATTATTGCTTGAGTGGTATTATCTTAAAGGTGTTATCAAATAAGTTGATATTACATATAAACCATAAGTCAGTTAGAAAGTGGCTTTTTATCTGTAAGAGTGTGTTAGAAACAAACTTGGTTTGTATTTAAAATTCCAAAAATTTCCAGGTGAAAAGCAGGCATATTTTTCTCAGGTGGAAACATAATCTCCATGTTTCAAAAATTCTGGGGGAAGTCCTTCCATAGTAAAGACTATGGGTGGGATGGAAAGAATGAAGAAGAGAAGCTGGTGGTATTAAAACTGGAAGACAATGTACAGGTGGCATAATGTCTCAGGAAACTTTCACATTGCATTAGCTGAATAGGTCAATAGAACTGAAAGTGCATGGAGCATTGGGAAAGATATTATCATACCAAAAGTTTACTGATATTCAAAATCACAGATTTGCCCCATATCAGCAAAGACATGAATGACATTCCATTCTCAAGTGATCCTTACACACATACACACACACACACACACACACACACACTTTGAATAATTTGTCTTTGAAAGGGGAATCACCACAGTTGTCCTCTGTTTACAATGATCCATGGGCTCTTAAATAAGTAGGTCTGGGTACCACATACTTCACTGCTTCATATTTAAAGACTAGCAACCACAGAAAGATGTTAGATGGCCAAGGAAGGGAAACAGTTTGCATTGTTAACAATAAGCACATGGTAAGTGAATTCTCTAGGCTTATCCTACATGTTTACCTTACATTTTACGTAGCACATGGTGATGAAAATTTCTGGAAGAACTTTCCAAAAATCTCTCTAATGGATGCCTGACAACAATCATGCTAGGAAATAAGCCCATACCTGCTTATTCACCTTCAAATCCAAGTTCACAATTTTATTGAAGTTACACTCTTCACAGAATTCCATTGTGGTCTGAACAGGCAACTTTGATTATAAGAGTTTCAAATAGTCTTTTAAACTATCTCAGCTCAGTTTATTCATTAGTTTGAAAAGTGACCATTTAATGGATTCGGTAAAATACTGTAGCATCATTGCTACAGTATTTCATTTACAGATATTGTAACACTTTTCATATAAGATGTCAACATAGAAGAAATGCACAATTTTTTCCACACCATACTAATGAATGTAAACTCAACTTTTTGCCCACCTTCCAAATCACTTCTCGCCCAGGAATTGCCTATAGTTACTTACCATATTTTGATATTGTTGTTATTATAATAATGTGTGGAATTTTGAAACACCTGATTTACCCACTTTTCTTTTCTTTTCTTTTTTTTTTTTTGTATGGCCCAATTTAGTTCTCTGGATTGCTAACATTTGGCAAAAATGAGGTTTTGGTTTTAAAGGAGCAGGATAGTGATTTACTTAACAGTATGCATAAATTACAATTTAAATTTCATTTACTTCTACTCCATTTGGACTCTTAAATCATAAGAAAATAGTACCAACAATAATTTAAAGTCAGGTTCTAGAGCTTTAGCATTAACTCTTTGTATTAACACTTAAAAACCTATATTTTGATATATACAGAAATGTAGGAAACTTTCTCATTCTCTTATTTCTCCCCTCCAGTAAAGCTCATTGAATTTAAATACATGTATGTTTTATTTATTGCCAGTTGTACCCACTTTTGAAAATAATGTATTGAATTGTAAAAGACAGTAAGATTTTTAAAAGCATATTTACTATTAATTCAAAAATGAGATAAACTTATGTTCTTAGCTTTTTAAAGAAATGCAGAGTATTTCCAAAAGCTCATTTTTATATGTGTTATCCACCCACCTCTTTCCTTTTTCTCTTTAAAGCCTAATAAGGAAAATTGACTTTAAGCTTTGTCATTTCAGCCTAAGGTACTAAAGGCAGCCAACATTACTATTGTTGCCATATCTGTCTTTCTCTTTATTATACAAGTATATCGATGATGTAATTGCAGAAGTTAGGGTTTACTCGAGCTGTTGGAGCAAAAAGATTTTTTTAGACTGCCTCCTTCAGCACCATAGAACAATTGTAAAACAGAACCAAGTACATGATTTAAGCAATTCATCTCCTAAACGCAAATCTGCAGGATCTTCATCTTGAAGGACTGATCAAGAGCTGGAAATGCAGAACCACTAGTAAAGCTCAATTTGCTCCAGACTGATGCTGAGCTGGAAAAACCCTTGAGTGACATAGTGCTAGTCTATGGCATTTTGGCTTTTAACCCCTTCTTAGAAGCCCCCAACTTTTCTGTTAGGCTCTAATTTTGCCCCCAAAGCCCAAGGGATTAGGAAATATCCCAGCCTTGGTTGTCCGTGAGCCGATATCCCCCTGAAAGTTGAGTGGAAACTAAGCAATCATTCATCATTCTGCATTTAAAATAAAGCAGTGATTGAGAAGTCCATCATCCTTCATAGAGCCACCCATATTAGAGACACCGAAGAGCTGAACATTTACAAAGGCATCTACTACACCAGGAGACCCCCCATCGTTGTGATTCAAAGTGCAAACAAAAAGAAACAAGAAAATACAGACACAAAATCACATGCAGATGAGGCAGCCGCATACAGGGAAAAGAGAACATACCTGAGGGATTCTCCTTTAAAAAAAAAAAGGTACACACCAGCTGGGCTGTTTCTTCCCTCCTTTTGGAGTGTGTGTGTTTTCCTTTCAGGTATACCACTTGGAATCCTGTTTCCAGGCTCCTTTCCTTTATTCAGGCACAAATAGTTATAGCGGGAGAGGAGGCTGCATCCCAGCGATCCGACTCAAGTGCAATCAGGCATGCCTTTGGTCTACAACGGTGTCTGTTCTTGTCAATTCTATCGTGCTCCCCAGGCAGCAGCCTCCAAAGCAATTTTACAACTTAGCTGCTGGCGTGAAACTGCCTTTCACTCTCCTCATTGCCAAATTCCTTCGGCAGCTCATTTCTCATCCCTGTCTCTAAGAAAGCAAAATGGGTTGTCTCCCGTGCGTTGACGAGCGCCAAGGTTCATGAACAATTGAGGGCGAGGAGCGTCGCGGCTGAGTGCGTGCAGGGAACTTCACACAGCGCGGGCCACCGCGGCGGCTGCTTTGGGGAATGCAGCACAGACACTGCGATCCCCCAGCCTCCTCTGCCCAGAGCGCCTCGGCTCCCTCTGCTGCCACCCCTGCTGCTGCACAGAGCAGCTCCTCCAGGCTGAGCCACACAGCCCCTGCTCACGGGAGATGCACCGCGGCCGCTGCCAGGTGTGGCCGGCGTCACCACCGCACTGACAACTAACTGTGGGACGCAGCTTCATCGCTGAGGAAAACGCCTGGATGCCCGAGCCCCTCAGCCTAATTTTTTTTTCTTTATCTCGGAGTGATGACCTGGGAGACAATTGTACGGCCAGGGTCGCCAGCCGTGTGTGCAACCTCTTTGATAACATGGATAATTCAATAATTACTGGTTTGGATGTAGCTGGTTGTGCTTGGAATCATGAAAAGTATACTGCACACAGTACAATTCCCAAATAGCCACTGAGAAGCAGCTAACAGGACCCCTTTTATTTGGAGAGAGGAGATGCTGGTATCTCATCCCAGATAGTTTTCTTCTTTGTAATGTGTGGAAAGCCATTTGTAGGTGATTCTTGAAAAACAATTTGAATTAAAGACACATACACAAATCAAAGTGGGAAATGCTGGAAAACTTATTGTGATACAAAGGTTTTGCTTCTCACTTAGAAATAACTGTCTTTCCATTTGATGTTAATGTTCTAAAGATCTGGCTAGGAGTCGGATGGGCTTGCTTCCCTTTTTAGTTTTGTTGAGTCGAGGAGGTGGAGGGAGTAACAGCTCCCACTTTCCATCAATAAAGCATTTTCTATCCTCTAACCCTCCTGTTGAAACAAACAAAAAAAGTACTCTTAAAATAGAGCTTAAAGAAGCTCAAGTCCTGGAATAATTTATAGATTTTAGGCTGCATCTGGTCTGTTGGCTTTCTTCTATCTACTTTTCCTTGTCTTTTAGAAAATAGATGGATGTTTCCAGGACTGAAGAAGAGTCAACTATTATTAGTTGAGATCGAACAGTGGAAGAAACATATACATAGATTTGTGTGGCATTTTTCAGTACATGTAAGGATGAATATGCCTTGACCAACTTTAGAATTGACTCTACCTTACCTAAACATTTAATATATAAGCTGACAGCAAAATGAACAGCTAAGCCTGATAGAGCATTTTTGGCAAAAACTTGTGGCAAAACACATTCCACCCACTATCTGTGACAACCAATAAATAGTTATCTCTATGATTAAAAATAATTCTTCCCAATTTAACACATTGCATGGGCCAGGTGCCAATAGCTGAGCACCCCCCCCCCACCATCCATTCCCAGCTCTCAGCCCCACCTTTAGCTCACAGCCAGCACAACTTCCTCAACCTGCTGCTCAAGTGACTGTTAATGGACTTGAGCAGCTGCTCAAGGTCTAATGAGCTGCATCAGGGGCTCACAATGGGGCAGTGCGATCCCTGCCTTCAACAGCACCCGAGTGGTAAGCAGGACAAAGCTCTGCTGCCCCCGGCTGTAAGCACTCAAGAGCAGCACAGGAAAACTGTCAGACCTAAAAGTAGACGAGGGGCAAAACCGGACTTTTTCACACAGAAAAATTCAGGCTGGCCGGTACATGGTTTTGAAGAATGCCCTTCAATACACAGAGGGAAGAACACCTATTTACAGAGGCTTGTTCTTCTTTTTTTAGTGTGTGATGCCCAGGACAAAGTGCTGGAGCTATGCTCAGCAGAGAGCCCCCAGCACCCAGAACAGTGCAATGGAGGTGAGTCCTCAGTGAATTAGGATATAATGTCGGTGGTTTAAATGTGAAAGCCTACACAAGGAAATACAGGTAAGACAATCTTATTCCTGTGTGATTCTCAGAACGTGTTTGTACTCTGATGAAAAGAGATGTGTATGTATTGCTCTAATTCAAATACTCTCATTGAGGAAATAACAGGGGTGGTGATCATCAGTCTATGTTTTTAAGAACAAATGTTTTATGAATGCTCCAAAGTCAGTGTGTGTGTTCTGATAAATGCACTGCTTAACTATAATCATCAGGATTCTGGTTATTTATTCAAAACAGAAACTATTTACATCTCTGAAAGTGGCAGGAATCATGGATCTGAGGGACACTGGCAGCTAATAAAATATGTCACTACTGGAGAGAGTGAGAGAGCTTTATGACTTTACTGACCTGCAGGGACACCAAAATCCCTAACAGAATTTCCACCTGCTATGTTCCTGATTTGAATAATATATAATCACAATCATATGAATGCAGCAATACGTTAGAGTTCTACACATTCTTATCAATAAGACACATTCCATTTTTGCAAAGAACTTTTCAAATTCTTGAATTAGTAACATAAAACAAAACAGGATAGGAAATGAGTGATTTCCATTTATATACTTACACCTCTAGAGATATGTACATGCCCCAAACCTTACTCACAGATTGATTATGTTAAATCTTTCAGCAGTAATTTCAGGAGGAATAAACCTCTAGGGTACCATTCCTCTCCCATATCCCAAGACATAGGTGGGCCAAATTATTTGTCTCATTGGTTCAGGTGGGAGAAGAGCAAGTGTCTGGGTCACTGGTCATTTTTTATCGGTAGTAAAGCTTAACTAAATCAAAAAGATCAAGTAAAAGGACTGTTTTTGTATAATTCTGTTACTGTCTGTGCATTTGGCTTTTAGCAAAAGAAGAATTCTTGAAAAAGCAGAAATTAACCTTATATGTTTTGAATTGTATTTTCAGCTTTCTAGAAAACTTTGCTCCTTATTTTAGGCAACTGGTAACCAATCACTGGACCTCACCATTTAAAAAAAAAAAAACAAAAAACTGAACAGTCATTGGCTCCCTGTATCCATTTATATGTATTGGTGAAATGGATGATTGTCAAGATAATCAAAGACAAAAACATGATTACATCAAAAATAGCAAGTTGTTGTTTCTAGTTTTGTATAACTGAATAATGTATAGGGGAACAAGTATTTGGGAATAAACTATCATATGGAATTTGAAAAGATTGGCAAAGTGTTGATTTCATGGTAGTAAAGCATACACTAAGCTCTGTTCTTGAAGTTTTCCATTAAATTATGAGTCATGTAAAAAGTGTACCTTTGAAAGGAAGTAACAGTGTGTAACTTTGGAGACTACGTCATGCAAGGTACTGCAGCTTCCTCTTTGCCCACTCTCTTTTGGATTGGTCACTCTGAGGAAAGTTAGCTGTCATGTCACAAGGACACTCAAACAGTCTAGAAGGAACCCCCAGAGCAAGTAACTAAGGTCCCCTCCCCATAGCCAGATAGGAACTGAGACTTCCTACCAACAGTCATGTGAAAAAGCCATTTTAGAAGCTGACCTTCTACCCACATTCAAGGTTTGAAAGGACGACAGCCCCTGGTGAATGAAACCACCTGAGAAACCCTGGAGCACAAACACCCAGCTAATAATAAATGTTCGTTGTTAAAAAAAAAGAAAAGAAAAGAAAAGAAAAAAATATATATATGTATACCGTTAGAATTTCCAAATGAGAAATTAGATTGACTAATCTTCAACTTGTGGATTAAAGGGCATTTAAGTGTCTTATGATGTAAAGTTTTACTAATTCAAAGAGATACATGCACTCCTATGTTTATAGCAGCATTATTTACAATAGCCAGGCTATGGAAGCAGCCCAAGTATCTGGTGATTGATGAACAGATAAAGAAGATGTGAGATACACACACACACACACACACACACAGGGATATTATTCAGCCATAATAAAAGAATGAAATCTTGCCATTTGCAATGATATGGATGGAGCTAGAGAGTATAATGCTAAGCGAAAAAGTCAGAGAAAGACAAATACCATTTGATTTCACTCGTGGAATTTAAGAAACAAATAAACTAGCAAAGGGAAAAAAAACAGAAAGACAAACCAAGAAACAGACTCTTAACTATAGAGAAAATAATGGTTACCAGAGGGGAGGTGGGTGGGGGGATGAGTGAAATAGGTGATGGGGATTAAGGAGCACACTTGTCATGATGAGCACTGGGTGATGTACGGAATTGTTGAATCAGTATATTGTATACTGAAACTAATATAACACTATATGTTAACTAACCAGACTTAAAATAAAACTTAAAAAAAAAAAGAGGTAAAAGTTTTAGGTTCAACAAATTCAGGAACAAGAGGATAATGTCATACTTCCCTAGTCAGTACTGGTAGTTCTCTTTGTGTGATCTTAGCATTTTTATAAATCTCTATGGTAGTATTAGTTTAGTATAAGGTACTTTAACTATTACTCATTTACCTAAGCCTTTCTGTGCTAGACTGTGGTGTCCTTCAGGACAGAGACCGTGGTTCATTCATCTTTATATCACCAATGCCCAGTCGAAAGCCAGACTCATGAAAGGTAGGTTGAGTGAGTAACAGTGTGTTTAGTTAGTAGAGCACAGAGCGAATGAGGCTAAGGACATGGGTTGAGTCCCTGTGTAGCCAATTAGCTTTGTTCCTTTTCTGGTCCAAATGGCACCCTTGGTTCTCACCAGCTATCTCACAATGTGTGCCAGAACAATCCACCTAACTACATATTCCAATGGTGGTAAACCAGTAACACAATAATGTCTAAAGTTTAACCCTCTTACACAGTATTTTTAGATACCTTTTCTCATTTGATACTTACCTTTAAAAACCTATGGTCTTGTGATTGCCCCATACTAAAATGATGAAACAGACACTCCAAAAAGGCTGCATGACTTACCTGACTATACAGAACTGGTAAGGGGTGGAGACTAGACGAGAAATCAGACATTCAACTTCTACTTCAAAACTGGTTCTACCACAAAGCTGACAGGTATTTATTTAAATACCATAATCAATGGCCAGACGTGTAATCTTTTAAAAATTCTAATAAAGAGTGAATTACTTAAGCAGATGCTCTTTTAGAATATGTCTACTTGGGTAAACTTTGGGTAACTATCATGTAATGTTGAATGCTGTTTGGTGTGAAGCATCTATAAAGCCCCATTCTGTTATTCTCTTCTTTGCTTCTGTAAAATTCATGTCAGCACTGTACCCAAGC